CTGACGCTGATTCCAAATTGATTCGAGTTTTTATTTGCAGCTTTGGATTGGAGAGATGGAGACGAAGATGGAAATTGAATTCACTAAGCAGCCCTACATCGAAGATGTTGGTCCTCTTAAAATGTATGCTTCGTCTAGTTTTCTTCTCAATTCAAAATCACTTGACCCTTATCCTAGAAATTGAAGATACAGATTCGTTTCTAGCTTTTACTTGATTTTGACTCATTATGCTTAAAACCTTCATTCGTTTCTTTTGCTAGTGTATAGTTGTTCAATGCTCACGAAACTTTGATTGGTGTCTGAATTTTTTGTATGTCAATTGAGATTGTATATCGAGCTTATGATGATCTTACTTTGATACAATGAATACATGTGCCTTTTCTTTGGCCATATTCCATGAATGTCTGATGTGATTTCTGGTTTGAGAATGTTTTTTTTTTTTACCTGGTGGGATTTTGACATTACTCTACTATATCTGCAGAAAAAGCATAGACTTCTCAATGCTTTCTGATCTTGAGGTCATGAAAGCTGCTGAAGTTCAGGTCTGGAAGAATCTGTACTACGATACCAATTCTAAACCCCACGAAGGCGGCTTACTGGATCCACGAATGGTACCTGATTCTCTTATATATCCATGTTATCTTTTGGTTTAATTTCTTATGTATCCCTTGAACGTTCCATGACAAGTATTATGTGTTATGTTATGCCTCCTGCAGTTATTTGCATCCGTATATGTAATTCTAAACATTCTCTGATCCGAAATATAATTTTGTCCTTTTACAAAGGTTAAATCTAAATGGTTTGGTTATCTTTGATTGTACAGGGTCCTCCAAACAAAAAGTCTATTTGCACAACCTGTGATGGGAACTTCCAAAATTGTCCTGGGCACTATGGATATCTGAAGCTTGACCTCCCAGTTTACAACGTTGGATACTTCAATTTTATCCTGGACATTTTGAAGTGTATTTGTAAGGTAGTAGAGTTAGCAGATTATGTCTCTCTAGTTTCTGTTCTATCTTATGTTAGTCAATCCTTTTACTTTTGTTGAATGGAAAAACTAGGAGAAAAATACAGCATGAAACTTATTTCTGGGTAAATGCCTTTCGAAATCCAGAAAATGTCTAATTTGCATAACAAAACGGCTGGTTATTCAACAGTAGTTCACAAATTTTTTTTATCCTCAGCGCTGTTCCAGGATGCTTATTGACGAGAAGCTGTACGAAGATCACTTGAAAAAGATGCGGAATCCAAAAATGGAGCCATTGAAGAAGACTGAATTGGCTAAAGCGCTTGTCAAGAAGTGCAGTACGATGGTAAGCCAGAAAGTTGTAGAGTGCAAAAATTGTGGCTACATGAATGGTACGATTTCTATCTGCTTTTTGGCTAAAATATATAGAATAGACGATGCTATTTTGAAGTTAATAAATTTGAAACCTTGATTCCTTTTCTCGTTCTTCATTGTTTCGACTTAGATGCAAAATTCATTTTTTGGAACATGAAAATAAGTTTCTTAAGCTGCACAAACAGAAAATTTGGGGTTTTCTAGAATTCTAATATCCAATACCAAAAATCTGGAACCTCTATTATTGGATGATCTGAAATTATACTCTAATTTATGCTATGTTCGTGAAACTGCTTCTTCGTACCCAATTCAATCTGATATCCTGTTGATGGTTAATTTATTGATCATTTCAGGCATGGTAAAAAAGGTTGCGGCGCAGTTTGGTATAGGCATCAGTCATGACCGATCTAAAACCCCTCATGGAGAGCTTGATGAACTTAAATCTGCAATATCCCTCACGAATGGAGGAATAAATCCTCTAACATATGTTCTTGATACCAACTTGGTGCTTGGACTTTTTAAAGGAATGAGTGACAAGGTATAATGTACATCTTTTTCTGCAATTAACATATGCATTAGTGTAAAGGGGTGCTCTTATCTACAAATAATCCAGCCATGCTGATTCTTTTTCTTTCTTAATTCGATAACAGGACTGTGAACTTCTTTATATTGCTCATAGACCTGAGAATCTTATCATAACGTGCATGCTTGTGCCACCTTTATCCATCCGACCGTCTGTTATGATTGGTGGAACACGAAGGTTAGCTATCGTTTTGTTTATTTATCTCATGTTATCTTCTACTATTGATTTTTCTTGAAAGAATGTGTTTTTTTGCTGCAGCAATGAAAATGACATAACAGAGCGATTAAAGAAAATCATCCAGAGCAATGCTTCTCTTCATAAAATTTTAAATGAACCTACCACATCGCCCAAAAATATGGTACAAGGAGTTTCTATTTTCATCATTTAATCTCCTGTTATATTTATGTATTCTGCATTCTGTACTATAATGTTTGTCCCAGTTTTTGTTAACTTTTACTTTGAAATTGGTTTACGTTTTAATCCAGATTTTCGT